ATATTTTTCTTGTATTAGTGCTCTTTTATTTCCTGTGTTGTCCTGGCATGAGTTTAGGAAATGCAAGGTGGGGTGCATAATAAAAAGGAAATTTAAAAGCTTCGAATTTAATTTTTTTCATTAAAAGATCACCTATATCTTAAGCTGTAAATTCAAAATGTTCAGTAAGAAATGAACATTTTGCTTTATGACACTTACAAAATAAACCAAAGATGATAACTTAAAACAAATTATTTTCTGTTATATGAACCAAATAGACATAAGCAAAACATTCACAAATCAGGAAGGTTTTATAGTTATGAGTCGTGGTATTCTCATAAGAATCAGAGTAAAAATATTATACTTATGAGTTACATGATAATTAATGATGTGAGAAAATATCGAAAACATCCTACAACTAAAGAACAATTATTCAGGTTTCAGCTTTTCTCCCTTTACAATGTATTTTTATTAGTTTGAGGTAATTAAAAGTAATGAGAATTGACTTTTAATATGTTCATTTCATCTTTAATTTTCTGATATCCAACTCTGAATTAGTAACTCTTCTCTCTGGTATCAGCAAGTTTTATTGTAGACACTACAAAACAATTTTTCACTTAACAGTTATTATCATTCGTTTTGTAATTGGCATGAACTGAAAGGTTCATTACATTTCTAATAATTACCTTATATTCCACCCTTTGCCTCTCTATGGCTTGTTATTTTATGGTAGTCTATAACAAACTCTTGATCATTGCCAGGTATGCCATCCTGCTTTGGCTCAATTATTCTCTAAGATACTCTGTACCTCTACCTTTAGCGAACCTGAAATTTTCCTAGAACTAATTTAATTGCCAACTTTTCCAATTTCTACATAGCACTTACTCGCTAATTATTCGTTCTTGTTTCTCCTTTGTAGTAGAAAAAAAGTAAGTAAATATAGGATTTATTCTTTTGTACATTATCTTAAGTGCCTAGGACAGCGTATGGCAAATAGCAAGTACACAAAGACAGTAAATGCAATCAGATATTTTTCCTAATGATCAGCTAAAACATTTACTTGTTGAAGCATAGGTTGATTCTCCATCTTAATCTGGTGGCATTTTGACAGAGCCCTGTGAGTTAAAAAAGCTATCATGATACCTTGAATCAGTCAAAAAAAAAAAAAAAATGTGTGTTTCAGTTAGAGGGTGCTATTTTTCTCATGTGAAGCTGTGCTTATTACACTCCATTGAAAACTTAGCTAAACATATTTTCTTGGTATGCTAATGCCTTTTGCAAACCTTTTCTTGATTCTGCCATGTAATTTAAAAAGATTCAATTAAGGAAAGAAGATTTAACGAGCTTTGAATGAAATTTCTAGCAAGAACAGATTTTATATTTCAAAGCAGACAGTTGTTTTATTATTAGCTGCATTTGGTTTACATTGGAAACAGAATGTTTGCTTCCATACATTCCTGCCTCTGACTGTGTCTCAAGCAAGTGGAGAATGGCTGAGGGGCGGGAGGGGAGATGTGAATGAAACTTAACACCTGCAGTTGAAATAAATGTCTGAAACTCTAAATATCCAATAAGGTAGCGTTAGGTTTTCTTCCCGGCAAACATAGTGTCTCCTGTGTCTAGGTGCTGTTACTAAGGAGTGTTGGTATTTAGGCATCTGCACTGGCCTGCCTTTGGAGTCCTGACAGGACACACCCTCAGCTGCAGCCACTAAGAGCATCACCTGTGCCTATTCATTAAGTTCCCTTTCAAAAGGGCCCTGCCCACCTCCTGTCTCTTTCTCTCTCTCCCTCTTTCTGTCTCTTCCCTCTTCTCTCTGCCTCCCTTTCCTCTTTCCTGCCACTCCTGTCCCCAGAGGCAGGTCTCTCCCTTCCCCTTTCCCATTTTGAAGATTCCCCCTCAAAAAAAAAAAAAAAAAAAAAAAAAAAAAAAAGCCCTCCACTTTAACTCCGGCTCATGATGACTATTTCTATTGTGCCATTTTTTTTTTAATTACAACAAGTAGTTTAACATCCATGAGCATTAGTCTACTTATCTCAAAGTGGAAAATAAATATCTACTTATCGGGCTGGGAAGGCTGGGAGAAATATCACAGGGCTCTGGGACCAGGCCAGCGGGACAACTACTCACCATCCCTTGACCATACAAGCTACTTAATAAGGTATTTATTAAATAATGTTAATAATATTGAGGATTCAGTTGCCAGTGAATTAAACTACTGTATACCTCCTAAGGAAATAATAGAGCGACTGAGTAACCAAAGGCTATGACTAAAATGCACTTACATATATCTCAACAACTCTGATATAAACAGAAAAGGAGCAGCAGATGAATGGGTCGAGCACAGTGACTTTGATGAAACGAAGTTTGGAACTGTAGTGACCGTGAGATCTGAGCATGGGCATACGTATTCATGAACAAGAAGGAAATTCAGGACATTTTCCTTTCTATGTCTCCCCACGTCTCCAAAGGTGATACGAATTCTAGTTCACAATTTAATTTAATGAAAACAACTGATTATACGTGCTGACATGTTAATCTTTTTCCACAAGTGTTGAAGCATAAGCTAAGGATACTGAATTTATCAATACTATAGATAATAACTGACAGATACCTGGCAAATGGTACTTTCTCTTTTAGTTCTTGGGAAAAAAACAAAAAGAGAAAAGGGTACAGCAAACTTCAACTAAGGAGCTCAAAACCTAAATTAAGAAACATGCTATAAAATATTGGTCCTGGAGAAACATTAGGAAACATATAAAGTCAAAAATCCTGCTGTCAGAAACCTGGAAATATGAAATTTATGTTGAAATTGATATAATTAAGGCTTTTAGAGAAATTAATCGAGTGCTGATGTACACATTTCTAATCAAAATTTTTGTTTAAAGGTTTACATTAGTGTCCAAGGGATTGGTATTTTTTCATCTACAGCTATTGAATGAGTTTGATATTTTGTGCAAAACCCTGAGATACACTCTGCTCTCAAGACACACAACTGAATTTCTTCTTCTGGTTACCTCCTTTAGTACCTGTGTATACTGATAACCTCTTAGAGCTGCCCATTTCTCCTCTGCCTCTCACAATGCTTTCTTCCTATATTGCTCATGGCACTTACTGCACAGATCTATACTTTGTTCCCTGTTTGTCAAGTAACCAGGACTAAGTAGAAAGAAAGGTGGCTCAATCTTGTCGGCCTTTGCATGACCAGTCCCTAGCATAGGTCTTAAACTAATAAATACCTAATGATGTATAGTAAATATCAATAATAAATAATTAGCAGCTTTTACTAACAAATTTATAATCTACTATTCTCTAAGTTCACTCATCCTTTAAGATTTATTTTACTTATTTTACTTTCATTTATATGTCTGTGTGGGTCTGTTCTTGAGAGTGCATATCCCTGAAGAGGCCAGAGGTGTCAGAGACCCCTGGAGCTGGAATTAAAGGAGTTGAGCACCATTTGATGTTTGTCCTGGGAACAGAACTTGAGAGCTTTGCAAGAGCAGTATATGCTGTAACCACTGAGCCTTCTCTGCAGCACTATGAAGTATATTCCTTTGTAAAATCTCAATTTTTAATTAAAGTATAATTACATAATTTCCCTGTTTCCTCCCCTTTCTTGTTCTCTCTCTCTCTCTCTCTCTCTCTCTCTCTCTCAAATTTATGGTCTCTATTTGTTGTTTTACACACACACACACACACACACACACGTACATGTGTATAAATGTGTGTGTGTGTGTGTCCCTAAAAACATGAATATAACCCACTCAGTCCATGCAACGTTATGCGTATGCTTAATCTGGGAACACATCCCTTTTTACAGGCCCATCAACAGCTCACCAATCTCAGTGAACTTGCAGAGTAGACTCAGTTTCCTCTTATTACCAGGTCACTGTGCAACTGGAGGAAGCTGGTCCCTTTGTTTGGCAGGTAAAGAGACTGGGGGTCTGTAAGAGCCTGTGAGTTTGGCAGTTAATACACATGATTAAGAGTTGAACTTCATGAGAAAGTTTCTTCCTAAAAGTACTTAAAGACTACTATCCTCCCTGTGTCACTAAGGATTTGTTGAACAATCACCTTCGACTATTTCAATCATTGGTGAAAGTCCACTGCATTCTATCTCCTGGTTTAATTAGAAGAACATAGCATTGGTTATACTTTGCTGCAACCCATCCCCACTCTGGGGTGTGTTGGTAGTGACCAGGATTATTTAGCTGTCACAGGAATGAACAGAAAGCATTGTCATCCAGGCGCTGTTCCCATTATGCCCAGAGGAGAGTTACCCATGCTTCTCCATGGTTTGATAAGGAGATAAGACTTGGTGGAAATGTAGTGAAAGCTGGGATAAAGGGCTCACAGTCCGTGTTTGAAGGCTCCAGTAACAAAGTCCTGGTCAACTGACTCTACAATAAGTCCCTTAATATTACCCTACCCTAATCCAGAGGCTGTAGGGAAAGAATGAACCTAGGATATAGTAAATGGTGTATAAGACCCTTGGCTCAATTCTTATCACATATGCTAATTAATCAGTAAATAACATCCCTGAACACATGCTTCTTCTAGATTAATATGAAAATGTCCTAGACATTTTTTTCAATGACAGAAATCTATATTATCTAATTTTAAAACATTATAAGGAAGTTTGCTTGTGGAGGCAAGTTATTTTCTAGGTTAAGTGTTCATTTAGGAGTTGGGTAGAAAAACACTTAACCTATAGAACCCTGGCCCTCCGTCAGTTACCCTGAACTGTTAGGAGTGGACATTCTAAGAAAGCTTCAACAGAAATTAACAGCAACTACAATGATATATCAGCACCCCCCGCCATTGCCAGCAGCGTGTTCTCTCTAAAGGGATGTGGAATTAATAGGTTGAATTTTTTTTCTTAAACCAATAAATAAATAAATAAATAAATAAATAAATAAATAAATAAATCTATAAACCTCTGTCCCCACCTCTCTCCTGTTTTCGTGTCCTCTATGTACAAGTGCATTCTGACCATTATGCTTGGTTGGAAAGTTGAAAGACAGCTAACCAGCTACACCCAGCCCTGGCTCATGGGCAGAGGAGCAAAGTTCTAGGGCTGAGCGTTCCTTTCTCGGCGGCGCCTGGCCATGCAGACGCTCGCGGATACCTGCCCTGCTTGGCGCTGCCTCTCAAGATTCGCCTTGGCAGAACAGTTGAATCTCCATCTGGCTACCAACCCTACCAACCCACCCGAGCTTTCTTCTCCTCCGTCACCACCCTCCTGCCTCCCCTCCCTCCCCCTCCTTTCCGTCTTCCCTCCCCACCCCCGCCCCCAATCTCCTCCTCTTTTTCTCACTACAAGCGGTTGCTGATGCTGAAGCCGAGCATCACTTCGGCTCCCAAGGCAGACATGGCGACATTGACAGTGGTCCAGCCGCTTACTCTGGACAGAGGTAAGGGAGCAGCTGGTCCATCAGGCCACTGAGTCCGCACCGCTTCCCCCTCCGCCCTGCCCAGTCCCATTGGGATAGCAGGATGCGCTTGGCCAGGGGCAGCTGGGCGAGGAGATCAACCCAGGAGGCTTTCGCGCCCGGAGCAGGGCACTTTCTCTTCTCTCCTGGTCCCCGCTGCTTCTTCTCATTGCGCTCGCCGGGGTGTGGATGCCTTGCCAGGGCTCCAATGCTCCAGCCGCCAGTCCTAATCCCTTGCTGGGTCTCCGTGCCCTGGCTTTGTTGGAGAGGATGTTCAGGAACCGCTGAGTGCTGGTGACTGGAGGTTGGAGAGGGACAGCGAAAGCTCTCCCAACCAGAGCAGCGAAGGGACCAGTGGGGAAGCCTGCTACCAACTGCCGGCCCAGGGACCCAGAGGGAGGAAGTTTGTCCCTGCGATGGAGACAGGCTCTGTGCAGCTGCGGTGACTGGGAGATGATCGCCCCGGGGTGGCAGTGCGTTTGGCAGGGTAGCTGGGCGCACCGCCGCTGTGCTGCCAAGCCAGGGCGCTGCCCTCGGTCGAAAGGGCAGAGAGGAACCCGGGCAGCCTAACTGGCGAGGGAACGCCACATCCCAGAGGCGAACCGGCTGGGCTGCAGCTTCCCATCCGGAGCTGCGACTTGGGTCGCTGAGTCGCGGTACTCCCTCCTCCTGCAGTTCCAGGGCGGTAGCAACTCCTGTCTCCTGCTCCAAACCAACCTTGATCTTTACCAGCCCAGGGCATCTCTGTGCCTGGGCTGCAGACAGAGCAGGGACAAAGCGCAGGCTGGGTAACAGTTTAACTTCTAGCTTGTGACCTGTGCGTCCTACTCTTTGGTTTCATGGGAAACAGCCAGCATTTGCTACCTCCTCAAACCTTCCCAAGCCTGGTTACTGGTTTCTCCTCTAGGATCAGGGCCTGACTAGTGCATCCGAGTGATTCCTTGCTTTGAGTGGGAGTTTCCTTGCTCCCTCCCTACGTCCAGGTGCTAAGGCGCCAGAGTCCCCTGCTCTGCAGAGGGCACCTCCAGCTCTTGTCCGCAGCCAGAGGCAGGGCTTAGGACCCGGGGCAGCCATTTGAAAATGCTGTGCTCAAAAGAAAATGATTTAGTCCCTGTCCCTCTAAAATTTCTCTCTCTGGAGGATTAAACTAGCAGGGCCCAGCAAGGCAAAAAGAGCATCCTGCTGGGGAATACAGCGGCAAAGCTGGTAAACTCTGTTTGAGGTTCTTAATTTGGAGAGATCTCTCGTGACTTTAACTCAATCTGTTGGTGCCAGAACTAGATATTATGCGGTGCCCATAGCAACCTTACTTGGGATAAGAGATGAAAAATAATTGATTTTTATGTTGAGAAATGTTCATTTACAAGCTTGCAAATTGATAACAGTAAAGAGCTCAGAAACCCGTCGTATAATCTTTGACTTTTACCCCCAATATCATCCGTACTAAGCAGGATAAATCCATTGCTGGTAAGAGCCAAGCAGATGGCAGGCTATTAAAAACGATGGGTTTCCCAAGTATTTCTGTTTTTATGTGATGAGCTCTTATATTGTCCCATTACCAAATTACAGTCATCAACCACCCCAAGTTTAACTCTGTAAAACATCCCAAGTTCTAACTACGTTAAAAGCGTTAAAAGCAAACACTCCAAGAAGACCGCATGCATACCCAAGCAAGTTTATATCCCACTACTGCTATTGCTAATACCTTTATCCCACTTTGGGGAGTAGGGTATCTTCGCCCTTAGATGCCCTATAACCAGTTGTTCAGAGGAGATATTAAGCAGAGAAAGATTTAAAGTGCATTCTTGTTTCTACTCAGATGGTACCTGACAGACAGTAATCCAGGAAGCAAAGCTAGGTTAAGTATATGAATATCTGGATGAATGAGCCTTCTGTCCTTACTGGCTTGAGCTGCTTGATGAGGGAGATGCATCTTCCCTCTCCTTCACTGCGATGGTATGATGATAGAGTAGGTACTTCATTGTTGATGGTACCTTAATGTGATCAATATGATTGAGTAGGTGATTTTATGATTCAGATGATGGAATGTGGGATTCTAAACTTTGTCCTTGAAAAGGGCTTAACACAGTTGGTCTTTAGGGATTTGGGGTTGATGATTCAGTACTGTGCAGGTTTACCTTCATTTGGATTTCAGTGTTTGGCCACCTACTGGAGACTACATCACACCAAGCTCCCAGGTACCATTCGGGACATTTTAGATTTGCCCTCCCAAAGTCTTGTAGCACCTTCAAAGACTTTATAACTGGTTGTCACTTTTGTCTCCCCAATGAGTTTAGCTCCTTGAGAGATGAGGCCATTTCTGCATCTGTCTTTGAATCACTCATAGTCCCTGACTTGTGGTGGAAATGTAAAATTAATGTGGATTAGTGTTAGTGAGCTAAAACCTGAAGAAAACCAAGAACTACTGATTAGAGGGATGTCGTAGCAAACTAAGGTGCAGTTGGTATGGAATGGACACACAGCTCTGTAGATCCAGAGCTCACATAGGGAAGTTGTTACCCCTGCTCACTTGGTGAATTTCTGTCAGCCACAACTGCTTACCAAGGCATTGCCTTTTGTTATTATTTTTGTTGTTGTTGTTGTTTTGGGAGTTTTGTTTGTTTGTTTTGGTTCATTGTTTTCCTTCAAGACTGGATTTCTCTGAGTAGTTCTGGTTATCCTGGAACTTGCTCTGTAGACCAGGATGACCTTGAACTGGGAGATCTGCCTGCCTCTGCCTCCTGAGTGTTGGAATTAAAAGTGTCTACCACCAGATACTGCTGGTGGGCAATAGAGAAGAAGGAAATGAGACTCTTGTCAGGGACAACCAAGTGTATCTCAGCAAATCAGAAGATGCATGCTATAATTTTAGGGCTCCTGGTTCATTTCTAGTGTTTTAATTTATACAAATTTAATAAAACACAAAAGAAATGAAAACAGATGGTTTTAAAGCTATATTGCCTATAAATGGAAGATTTAATTATTGCTAGTGTCTTTTGGGAGCATATATACAAACAAACAAACATACATACATATATACATGCATGCATCCATAATGCATGTATGTATGTATGCATGCATGCGCGCGTACACACACACACACACACACACACACACACACACACACACACAAATTCTTCAGGGAAAGATTTTAAGGAAACAAATCAAAGCTACAGGGTTTAAATTAAGGTTTAGTCACCTCAAATTCAAAACCAATAACTGGAAGCACGACTCTTAGAAGTCACACTCGCCTTGATTTTGGTCTGGGAATAAGACTTTAAGATCCAGGCTAGCCAAAAGGAATAGATTCTTTTCTAACTGCATCAAGACATTGAACTAGCCAGCACTGCAGACCTTGGAGGTGACTATGGGTAGATTACATTCCTGTTTACTGTTTCTTCATAGTCTTCATTTACTTACCAAGGTCCTACTATAAGTCACACTTTATGTGGAACCAGGGTGTATGGAGAAGCTAGACAAATGACAATTCTAATTTCTGTCATAAGTAAAGGTTGCTAGGGAAAGGTTTTTGTTTTGCTTTGTTTTGTTTTTTCTTAAGCCAGATAAGCAATTCATTCAATATATATTTACCACCTGTTACATACTAGATACTATGGGAATACAAGAAAAAAGGTTTTCAGCCTCTGTGAATCTTCAGAGTCTAGTGGAGGAGACATGGTAAGAGGTTGATTCACTAAAAGTTACTGTTAGCATTGTCCCAAACACTGCTCCGAGCAGTATAGTAGTGCCTGCTGAGCAATAACAGGTAAAACCTAATGGTGTTTGCATGCTAGTGAGAGAGATACAATGAGTTCACATATACAGATGTGAAGCTGATGGAGTAAAACAAAACTGGACAAATGACAAAGGGCCATTGCTATGGGTGCATCCGTCAAGGGAAGAGCCCTTGAGATTGCGACGTGTGAGAAGAGCACTGAAGAAAGGAAGGAAGCAAGATTTGTCCGTAACTGGGGGTAAAGATTCTCTGGAAGAGACGCTGTATCCCCTGCTTGCTACCGTGAAAGAGCAAGCAGAAGAGGAAGGAGCCTGAGTGAAGGGATATTTGAAGATGCTGGAGGCCGGGTGTGTGTGTGTGGGGGGGGTGATGCTCTGAAAAAGCAACCAAAGGAGAGATTGTGGGGGTGAGACCTATTTGGTTGGTGTTGATCAAGGAAGGCTCACTGAGAAGGGACAATTTTCAGTTGGTCTTCATGTCTTGTGTTAATATGATGTTTAGGAAATGGAATCATAGTGAAGGAAGTATATAGAACGTTATTTTCGGAGTTACTTCTTGGTTATCATCTAGTTAATACACTGAGATAAATAAATAAATAAATAAATAAATAAACAAACAAATAAATAAAACTGCCTAAAAGCAATTACACCATAAGGCTACGTCTTGGGTTAGAAATTTTGTTGTATAGGCCAAGTAAATCTACAGATCAGCTTTACATTAGGTTTTATGGTGTGGTTAAAATATCATATGTGATAATTTGAGTTTTGGGATTAGACAGTAAGGGAGACAGCAGTACATATAATTTACCCTTGTGGCAAAGTGGCCATTCTGACAAGGAGACAAGCATGGAGTTTATCTCTTCCCAGCTCCTAAATGTTCCCCGGCCTCTTCCTATTTTCAGAGATTGGCTTGACCAGATTTTAATCTCTAAAACTAGGACTGACCTTCAGCTTAACTCAGGGCAACAAAGCACAGCTCAGCCCACGGTTCTTGATAACTGTCATCTTTATAGAAAATAGAAATGCTTCACTGTATTAAACACTAAGGGTACAGTAACTTCAACTCTTCTTCAAAGCCAATTTCAAGGTCAGAAAGGGTAATACAAAAAAAAAAAAAAAAAAACTTTAAATTTTCCCCTTTGCTTAACCTTTTCCCCTTAAATTAAAACCAAATGGCTTTAAAGAAAATTATGACCTTTAATGTGATAATATAAAACCTATTGTAGAAAAAAATGAAGAATTAAATT